AGCAGATGTTTGACACTCTGAAGACAGTCAGTAGATGTTTGACACTATGGTGACAGTCAGTTGATGTTTGACACTCTGGTGACAGTCAGTAGATGTTTGACACTCTGGTGACAGTCAGTAGATGTTTGACACTCTGGTGACAGTCAGTAGATGTTTGACACTCTGGTGACAGCAGATGTTTGACACTCTGGTGACAGTCAGTAAATGTTTGACACTCTGGTGACAATAGATGTTTGACACTCTGGTGACAGTCAGTAGATGTTTGACACTCTGGTGACAGCAGATGTTTGACACTCTGGTGATAGTCAGTAGATGTTTGACACTCTGGTGACAGTCAGTAGATGTTTGACACTCTGGTCACAGCAGATGTTTGACACTCTGGTGACAATAGATGTTTGACACTCTGGTGACAGTCAGTAGATGTTTGACACTCTGGTGACAGTCAGTAGATGTTTGACACTCTGGTGACAGTCAGTAGATGTTTGACACTCTGGTAACAGTCAGTAGATGTTTGACACTCTGGTGACAGTCAGTAGATGTTTGACACTCTGGTGACAGTCAGTAGATGTTTGACACTCTGGTGACAGCAGATGTTTGACACTCTGGTGACAATAGATGTTTGACACTCTGGTGACAGTCAGTAGATGTTTGACACTCTGGTGACAGTCAGTAGATGTTTGACACTCTGGTGACAGTCAGTAGATGTTTGACACTCTGGTAACAGTCAGTAGATGTTTGACACTCTGGTGACAGTCAGTAGATGTTTGACACTCTGGTGACAGTCAGTAGATGTTTGACACTCTGGTAACAGTCAGTAGATGTTTGACACTCTGGTGACAATAGATGTTTGACACTCTGGTGACAGTAAGTAGATGTTTGACACTCTGGTGACAATAGATGTTTGACACTCTGGTGACAGTAGATGTTTGACACTCTGGTGACAATAGATGTTTGACACTCTGGTGACAGTCAGTAGATGTTTGACACTCTGGTGACAGTCAGTTGATGTTTGACACTCTGGTGACAGCAGATGTTTGACACTCTGGTGACAGCAGATGTTTGACACTCTGGTGACAGTAGATGTTTGACACTCTGGTGACAGTCAGTAGATGTTTGACACTCTGGTGACAGTCAGTAGATGTTTGACACTCTGGTGACAATAGATGTTTGACACTCTGGTGACAGTTGCCTGATCAAATAGTTTTTATACCCAATCATTTTATTCCCAATCATTTTTTTTCCAATCATTTTATACCCAATCATTCAATGGTTGTATGTTCACAATTTAAGCTTTTTTTCCAAAAAAAACCAACAAGACGAAAGTGAAGTGAAATTTGATAGGGTACTTTAAACATTAAGATTAATCCTTAATCTTGTACTAGTTATTGTATAGCGAGGTAGCAACAACAACTGATGTTAACATGTGTGGATGTGACAGGTAGCAATGACAACTGATGTTAACATGTGTGGATGTGACAGGTAGCAATGACAACTGATGTTAACATGTGTGGATGTGACAGGTAGCAACAACTGATGTTAACATTTGTGGATGTGGCAGGTAGCAACAACAACTGATGTTAACATGTGTGGATGTGACAGGTAGCAACAACAACTGATGTTAACATGTGTGGATGTGACAGGTAGCAATGACAACTGATGTTAACATGTGTGGATGTGGCAGGTAGCAACAACAACTGATGTTAACATGTGTGGATGTGACAGGTAGCAATGACAACTGATGTTAACATGTGTGGATGTGACAGGTAGCAATGACAACTGATGTTAACATGTGTGGATGTGACAGGTAGCAATGACAACTGATGTTAACATGTGTGGATGTGGCAGGTAGCAATGACAACTGATGTTAACATGTGTGGATGTGACAGGTAGCAACAACAACTGATGTTAACATGTGTGGATGTGACAGGTAGCAATGACAACTGATGTTAACATGTGTGGATGTGGCAGGTAGCAATGACAACTGATGTTAACATGTGTCGATGTGACAGGTAGCAATGACAACTGATGTTAACATGTGTGGATGTGACAGGTAGCAATGACAACTGATGTTAACATGTGTGGATGTGGCAGGTAGCAACAACTGATGTTAACATGTGTGGATGTGGCAGGTAGCAATGACAACTGATGTTAACATGTGTGGATGTGACAGGTAGCAACAACAACTGATGTTAACATGTGTGGATGTGACAGGTAGCAATGACAACTGATGTTAACATGTGTGGATGTGACAGGTAGCAATGACAACTGATGTTAACATGAGTGGATGTGACAGGTAGCAACAACTGATGTTAACATGTGTGGATGTGGCAGGTAGCAATGACAACTGATGTTAACATGTGTGGATGTGACAGGTAGCAATGACAACTGATGTTAACATGTGTGGATGTGGCAGGTAGCAATGACAACTGATGTTAACATGTGTGGATGTGGCAGGTAGCAATGACAACTGATGTTAACATGTGTGGATGTGACAGGTAGCAATGACAACTGATGTTAACATATGTGGATGTGACAGGTAGCAACAACTGATGTTAACATATGTGGATGTGACAGGTAGCAACAACAACTGATGTTAACATGTGTGGATGTGACAGGTAGCAACAACTGATGTTAACATGTGTGGATGTGGCAGGTAGCAATGACAACTGATGTTAACATATGTCGATGTGACAGGTAGCAATGACAACTGATGTTAACATATGTGGATGTGACAGGTAGCAATGACAACTGATGTTAACATGTGTGGATGTGACAGGTAGCAACAACAACTGATGTTAACATGTGTGGATGTGACAGGTAGCAACAACAACTGATGTTAACATGTGTGGATGTGGCAGGTAGAAATGACAACTGATGTTAACATATGTGGATGTGACAGGTAGCAATGACAACTGATGTTAACATGTGTGGATGTGGCAGTTAGCAACAACTGATGTTAACATGTGTGGATGTGGCAGGTAGCAATGACAACTGATGTTAACATATGTGGATGTGACAGGTAGCAACAACAACTGATGTTAACATGTGTGGATGTGACAGGTAGCAACAACTGATGTTAACATGTGTGGATGTGGCAGGTAGCAATGACAACTGATGTTAACATATGTCGATGTGACAGGTAGCAATGACAACTGATGTTAACATGTGTGGATGTGACAGGTAGCAATGACAACTGATGTTAACATGTGTGGATGTGGCAGGTAGCAACAACAACTGATGTTAACATGTGTGGATGTGGCAGGTAGCAACAACAACTGATGTTAACATGTGTGGATGTGGCAGGTAGCAACAACAACTGATGTTAACATGTGTGGATGTGACAGGTAGCAACAACAACTGATGTTAACATGTGTGGATGTGGCAGGTAGCAATGACAACTGATGTTAACATGTGTGGATGTGACAGGTAGCAATGACAACTGATGTTAACATGTGTGGATGTGGCAGGTAGCAACAACAACTGATGTTAACATGTGTGGATGTGGCAGGTAGCAATGACAACTGATGTTAACATGTGTGGATGTGGCAGGTAGCAACAACAACTGATGTTAACATGTGTGGATGTGGCAGGTAGCAATGACAACTGATGTTAACATGTGTGGATGTGGCAGGTAGCAACAACAACTGATGTTAACATGTGTGGATGTGACAGGTAGCAACAACAACTGATGTTAACATGTGTGGATGTGACGGGTAGCAACAACAACTGATGTTAACATGTGTGGATGTGACAGGTAGCAATGACAACTGATGTTAACATGTGTGGATGTGACAGGTAGCAATGACAACTGATGTTAACATGTGTGGATGTGACAGGTAGCAATGACAACTGATGTTAACATGTGTGGATGTGGCAGGTAGCAACAACAACTGATGTTAACATGTGTGGATGTGACAGGTAGCAATGACAACTGATGTTAACATGTGTGGATGTGACAGGTAGCAACAACTGATGTTAACATGTGTGGATGTGGCAGGTAGCAACAACAACTGATGTTAACATGTGTGGATGTGGCAGGTAGCAACAACAACTGATGTTAACATGTGTGGATGTGACAGGTAGCAACAACAACTGATGTTAACATGTGTGGATGTGGCAGGTAGCAATGACAACTGATGTTAACATGTGTGGATGTGACAGGTAGCAATGACAACTGATGTTAACATGTGTGGATGTGGCAGGTAGCAACAACAACTGATGTTAACATGTGTGGATGTGGCAGGTAGCAATGACAACTGATGTTAACATGTGTGGATGTGGCAGGTAGCAACAACAACTGATGTTAACATGTGTGGATGTGGCAGGTAGCAATGACAACTGATGTTAACATGTGTGGATGTGGCAGGTAGCAACAACAACTGATGTTAACATGTGTGGATGTGACAGGTAGCAACAACAACTGATGTTAACATGTGTGGATGTGACGGGTAGCAACAACAACTGATGTTAACATGTGTGGATGTGACAGGTAGCAATGACAACTGATGTTAACATGTGTGGATGTGACAGGTAGCAATGACAACTGATGTTAACATGTGTGGATGTGACAGGTAGCAATGACAACTGATGTTAACATGTGTGGATGTGGCAGGTAGCAACAACAACTGATGTTAACATGTGTGGATGTGACAGGTAGCAATGACAACTGATGTTAACATGTGTGGATGTGACAGGTAGCAACAACTGATGTTAACATGTGTGGATGTGGCGGAGCTGTACCTTTAACTCCTGCACTAGAAACAACTCTAAATCAATTTTATGATATGCATTTAATGTTTTATTTTAAAAGACTAAGTCGTTTATTTTGCCAAAAACATTTTTAAAATCTTCATAGATTTAGATAAGAAATATTTTGAGGCCCCCTGGGTAATTGCCCTTTCAGCTCGTCCCTTAATCCGCCCCTGGATATACATTATGTATTATGTGTAAATCTATAGAATCTGAAATCATTTCTCTGATGCCATATTTTGCCTTGCTAGTCCAGCAACAGACCAACAAGAACTCTCTCTAAATCCACATCTGGCACCAAGCAGGCCTCAGGACCTTCTAAAAAACCAGAGTCTAAGACCAATTTTGCTGCAAAGACTAAAAAATAAAAGCTGCTCAAGGCATTTCTTCAAATGCTCTGTGTTTCTCTACAAGTCTGCTGGTGGTGGCTCCATGGGACTGGAGACTGTCAATGGAGGCCTGGCTGTGGTAGTGGACAAGCAAGTTTTAGACACTCTTCTCAGCACTACTTGACTCATGGCATACAACTCATTGAATGGCTTAGGGTTAAGGTTATAAAGCTCATTGAAATGCTTAGGGTTAAGGTTATAAAGCTCATTGAAATGCTTAGGGTTAAGGTTATAAAGCTCATTGAAATGCTTAGGGTTAGGGTTATAAAGCTCTTTGAAATGCTTAGTGTTAAGGTTATAAAGCTCATTGAAATGCTTAGGGTTAGGGTTATAAAGCTCATTGAATTGGTTAGGGTTATGAAGCGCATTGAAATGGTTAGGGTTATGAAGCGCATTGAATAGGTTAGGGTTATAAAACTCATTGAAATGCTTAAAGCGCAAGATAAAATATAAGATATTAGAAGTTGTTTTTAAAAACTCATATTAATACTGTATTTGATTCATTTTAAAATGGAATTTTATTGTTAACTGCACCAATGTGAACCCATTAGCCAAAACATGTCACACTGCCGAGAAGAGATTCTCCTGCATGTAAAATACTTTGTCAAATTTCCTGCCCAAGTAGGGATAAACATGTCATATTGTTCTCTTTGTCAAGTAGTTTAAACTTGCCAAATCTGGTTGTCAAGTAAATGAATTGTTTTAAATAGTCTGCTTTTAAGTTGATTAAGTATGTCAAGTATGTCAAATTTGCTTTCAAAATAGATTGACTTGTCCAATGTTCCGCTGACCAACTATTGAGTGTGAAGGCTAGTGTTTATGTCATATTTTTGTCAACAGTAACATACAGGGATGTAAAGCTCTTCAGTTTTTAATTCACACATTTGAAAATCTGTTCATTATTGCAATTCCTGTTTAACTTCCTTTATCATGATTATGCTTATTGTTTTATTAAAAGGAAAGTTAACTATAAATAAAGAGTTCACCCATGTTATTTATTTTTATTTTAGATTGTTGTCTATTCACAGTAATTAGTGTAATCACTTTATTTTTGCAATCTGTTTATCACTGCTTACACCAAAGTAAAAAAAAATAATTGATAAATTTTCCAAAATTGAATTTCTATCATAACGTTTTAAGAAATTGCAATAGAAATTGGGATTACGTCTTTTATAACATTTACTTCTTTTTAAATTAGAGCAACATTTTATAGGAATGTGGTATTTTTCTTTGAATTAGAGATAATAAAATAAATAAGCAAGATTTCTGCTACCACTTCTTACAGTCTTCAAAATAAAAGTTTCAATGTTTCAATCACCTCATGACTTGTCTTACAGTCTTCAACTATTCTTGATAAAAAAATAAAAGTTTCAATCCCCTCATGAGTTGTCAACTTGCTAAGTCACTTCAGATTGATTCACGGCAAAAAACAGATTGATTTTTTTATATTTGTGTTAACTTAAGCTTGTTCAATTGTTTGAACTGTTAAAAGATTAATTTTAAACTATGCTTTGCATTATTTTTTTTAAAGGCTATGAAACGTGAACTTTTTGAGCAAGTTAACTGCTACCAATTGCTGCTGTGACATAGCACCCTAGAGAGCTATCAATTCAAGTATTAGGCCCCAGAATTAGCTCCTAACTCAAGTTGATTTTTGACTTCTTCCACTTTCTCCTTATGGAGAGCCTCAACCATAATCTTCCACCTTATTTGTCATGTCTTGGGCTTTGTCCTTCTCCACCGGCTTATGTTTGTCTGAAACATGAGTCAACTCAAGGTCTGTATCTTGTCAGTGCAGGTCTTAAAGACTCTTGGTGTCCCTACTCCATAGAACACAAACATTTTCTTGTGTTTGAGATGACAGAATTTTTCCACATGGGTCGCAGCACTGTGAAAGCGCAGCAGGCTCTATTTTCACATGGGTCGCAGCACTGTGAAAGCGCAGCAGGCTCTATTTTCTATTTCCTCCTCTGTGTCTCCCAATTGACTGACCTTGCTGCCAGGGTAGGCAAATTTCTCCACATCATTTTCGTCTTCCTTCATCTTGGTTGATCTTAAGACCTACAGGCCTTGTGGTGGCTCCTAAAGCATCACCTTGTTCTTGCAGCAGGTGTAAGGCAAGATCATCTTACAGTGTCCACTGTATACCTTTTCCAGAACTGGCATATGCTGTGCACCTCACCTAATGGAAGAGAATGGGCGACAACAGACATCCTAGTCTAACACCTGTGTTGACCAGAAACTCTTCAGACAGTTTCCCAGCATGGCTAACTTGGCATAAAAATCCAGATCTGTTTTGTCACAAAAAGAAAATGTGCAAGCTAAAGTTTTTTCTTCTCATCGGTAGTCGACTCCCCGTCTTAGGGATCCTCTAGCAATGTCATTCCACTCCTAGCAATGTCATTCCACTCCTAGCAATGTCATTCCACTCCTAGAAATGTCATTCCACTCCTAGCAATGTCATTCCACTCCTAGAAATGTCATTCCACTCCTAGAAATGTCATTCCACTCTTAGAAATGTCATTCCACTCCTAGCAATGTCATTCCACTCCTAGCAATGTCATTCCACTCCTAGAAATGTCATTCCACTCCTAGCAATGGAGATGCGCTTTGTAATTTTGTGATGTGGCGGGGGGGGGGGGGTGTGTAACGTCACACTTTTGCATTTTTAAAAAAGTAATGTTAGACACAGAATTTGAGCAGCTATTCTAATATTTCAGATTGTAAACTGTTAGAAACAGAATTTGAGCTGATATTTCAGAACATTGTTATTGTAAACTATTAGAAATGGATATGTTGACCAAGCTAAGGAAGTGATGTTTTTTTTTTAAATTGCAATTTTGATAGGATTCATAAGTGGGAGGAGGGGGAGGGGGTAAAAAAATGTGGCCCTTAAGTTGTTTTAACTGTATCTTATATTACAAGAGTTTAATGGAATGGCTTTTTAAACCCTCTTTATGGTAAATACCATACCAAGTACATGGAATAATGTATACTCATATACCTTAATAAAGTTAAAAACTTATTCTAAATTAGAACTGTGCCTAAGATTTTAAACTTCGTTATTGTTCAAGATGATTCAACTAAAAACTACATTTATTTACCTCTAATTTAATACAAATTTTAAATATCAAAATTAATCGGTAGCCTAGAAAAGGATTTGAGAAAAAAAAATGTTTTTAAATTGCTACAATGCTTTGACTGATAGTACTGATATATGGGTTAGTTGTGAAGCAACCAACCATTCAGCAGAAATGTGTCGTCTGCTAGATTTCTTCCCATTCAAGTACATGGCGGGCTTAGTTGGCTGTTATCTTGATCAAGTTATTTTTCGAAGATTTCTTTTTTACCCTGCATGATTTTTTTTTAATTAAAGAAATTAGGACGAAACATAGAGTCCTTTCATATGACGTCACGTCCGTTCGTGATACCCACGCCCGCCGCCACAGTGGTGTACACCAGACGTAAACACAATCAGCTGTTCACCAGCGCTGGACGCGTTCACTGTATGTAAAGAACCGCACCCGCGGAAAAGGAAAAATACGTTAAAAAACTTGAACTCTTAGGAATTGAAGATCCTTATACTGTTATTGACAGTTTCGTAGATAATATAAATATGTGGCCAAAATTTCTAAATAAAAATACTGTTAGTAATACTGTTTGCGTTTAGAGTTTAAGTAGACGAATCTGATCTAATGCACTTCTCGATACTTTGTTTCAGGTAAGGACAGTGTAATAGATTGAGATAATTGTGAGGTCAAGGGAACTCACTCTTCTGTATTAGTATTATATTTATATTGTTATCTTGAGTGATGTCCCTTGTGCATTGTACTTCCTCTTCCTCTTTCCATCATGGCTGTAAATAAAGGCTGTTAACAACCAATGTGGCTCCTCGTCAGTGTTTACCAATCTAACACATTGGCGACGAAGGATAAATAATCTACTAGAAAGAGCACCTACTTACGCAAAAAAGAGGTTTGCTAGAGCTTATTAGCTAAGTATTTCTAGAATAATGGCGCTGTATGGCCAAATAAAACAATTTGATTCGAATGATGAAATCATTCAGGATTACCTAGAGAGGTTAAGCTTTTACCTAGAAGCTAACAACGTGACGATAGAAGCCAAAAAGAGAGCTGTTTTGTTAACAGTCATAGGGCCTCAACAATTTAGGCTACTAAAGGACTTATGCGCACCAGCTAGTCTAACTACCAAGAGCTTCAACGAGCTGAGCAAATTGCTAACAGACCACCATGCGCCTACCCCATCAAAGTTTCTATGTAGAGCTAGATTTGACAGTAGGACTCGTCAACCAAACGAGTCAATATCAGAATATGTTGCTGCTTTACGTCATTTAAGTGAATTTTGTGAATTCGGAGACACGCTGTCTGACAAATTATGTGAAAAGTTTGTGACAGGTGTAAACAGCCCTGATATTCAAAGAAAGTTGCTGCTCGAGTCAGATCTAAAATTGGAAAAAGCAATACAACTTGCAACTTCATTCCAGCAGTCATCTGATGCGGCGAGATCTTTAGCACCTTCAGAGATCCATGCAGTAAACAGCAGGTTAGTCAATAAACATCAACCCCATCAGAGCATTCCAACTTATGCTAAACAGCCTGCTCGTTCAAATCCTAGATCTAAATCTAGTAATAATTATCAAAAATGTCATCGATGCAAAGGTCCCCATGCATCTCATCGGTGCAAGTTCAAGTCTGCAACTTGTTATAAGTGCAGTAAGCAAGGTCACATTGCCAAGGCCTGCTTTGCAAAGTCTTCGTCTGTTGCTAAATCTAGCCAGTCAAGACAGTACCGCAGCCAAAGGCAGCACTATGTTAACTCTCACCAAGACTACCTAACCCAACCAATGAACCACTCTACCTGTGAAAATTCTCAAACTGATTCGCAGCCGGATTTCAGCCTATTCTCTGTGAAATCAATAAGTCATGCTCCCATCAGTGTACAAGTTTATATCAACGGTAAGAGCATCAGCTTCCAACTTGACACTGGAGCATCTCTAACAGTCATAACAAAGAAAGATTTTGACGCTGTCACAGGAGGATCAGTGCCTCTACAACCATGTCACAAGTGTCTAACAACATACACTGGTGACAATGTTCCGGTAATAGGAGAGTGTATGGTTCATGTAAGTTATAATGGTCAAAGTGTTAAACTTCCTCTTCTTGTGGTTGAAGGAAATGGACCACCATTACTAGGTAGGAACTGGTTAAGTGATCTTAAGTTAAATTGGGAGAGTATTTGTTCATTGAAGAATGTAAAAGAATCTAGTCTTACTTCACTAGATAGAGTTATATCTGAAAATAAATGTGTTTTTGGTAACTCTGGATTACTAAATGATAGAACAGTGAAGTTAAGCATTAAAGACACAAATCCAAGATACTGCAAAGCTAGAGTTCCACCTTATGCAATGAGGAATAAAATTGAAAATGAGCTAAGTAGATTGGAATCTAATGGCATCATAAAGAAGGTAGACTATTCCGATTGGGCGTCGCCCATTGTGCCAGTGTTAAAGAAGGATGGTTCTATAAGAATTTGTGGAGATTATAAAACTACACTGAATAAGCAAATAGAGCTAAATAGGTACCCTATACCTAACATTGAGGAAATTTCTTTGAATTTGGCAGGAGGAGACAAATTCACTGAATTAGACTTTAGTCATGCTTACACTCAACTAGAACTGCATCCAGATTCAAAAGTCTATACGACAATAAACACACATAAAGGACTCTACCAATATGAAAGACTATGTTTTGGCATATCATCTAGCCCTGGAATTTTCCAAGCTGTCATGGACAGTATTTTTAAGGACATTCCAAATGTTTGTGTGTACTTTGACAATGTGTACATAACTGGTAAGAATGACACTGAACATCTTAAAACACTTGATAAAGTATTGAAAATTGTTGGTGAAAAAGGTTTAAAGATAAACAAAGATAAATGTCAATTCATGTTGACAGAAATTAGTTTTCTTGGTTATATATTAAGCAAGCAAGGTATCAGACCTCAACCTGAGAAAACAAAAGCCATTAAAGAAG